GGGGGGACTGCGGTAAGTTGAGGGCACGAGTGTTATGAACGCACACAACGCCTCCGATACACAACAATAGGAGCCTAACAGGCCTAAAGGCACTAAAGGCAAGACCCGGTGATTTGTATGGGAGGTGCTTTATAACACTATCGCAAGGGCAACATCCAAACAGCACATTCAAATTATGCACCTTTCCGATGGCATCGGCTGGCATCGAGGCTGGAAAGCTATTTAGGACTTTTACGCCGTTGCCGTCGCTTGAAAACGTCAAAACCTAGTGAAATTTTTTAGTAGGATAGGATAGGCCGCTGAGCTCAGCGGGGCGGCGTGACGGGCCGGCCTACCGCCCAGGCGCGTGGTTAGAAGAAGAATCGGGGGGAAAAGCGAGGGAAAACTACGTGGCATAAGGCCAGGTACTCGACATGCGTGGGGCCTGGGTGGGGTGAAGAGGGTCGGCCGTCGGCCTGTCACTGGTGTGACTAGGGTTGATGGCAATATCGCTCGGAAGTGAGGTGGGTCGAGAGGGAGAGAGGAGCGGAAAAGGGGGAAGGGGGGGGGGGCGACCGAGGCAGGCACTTTGCGGCTTCAGCCTGCTCTTTTGTTTGCGATTGATAACACAACTACAGTACCTGGGTGGCAACGTGCACTGTAACGTTTCTCGCCCGGCGACACAAAACCATCTGTGTGAGTCTGCCACACGCGCGAGAACGAGCTGGCGGGGCGACGGCCCCGTCTCGTCTCACTCCCAGTAGCTCTCACTCGGAGCTGCATCTCTCTCGCACGCACAGGAGCTGGGGCTGGAGAGGGGAGGGGAGGGGAGGAGGAGGAGATAGATGTAGTGTAATAGAGGATGGGCGATGGGCGGGGAGGGCGAGAGGGGAAAGGCGGTTCGTTTGGAAGCGGAAGAAAATAATTCGTATACGGAGCAAGCAACGGAGCGCGGCGGCGGCTCAGCTGGGACAACAATGAGGAGATTGGCAGGGGGTTGGAGAAAGGGAAAGGAGGAGGAGGAGGGGTAAATAAATAACCGAAAGAGCCCACCGGGTGGACCCGACGGAAAGGGTCGGAGGAGGACGACGACGGGGCTGAGGACTTGATTTACGATTCCGCGAGTAAACCAACGTGCACGAAATTTAAGACCGCCACCCGCTGGCCCCGCCAACCCCCGCGTCGTCTCCTCTTGTCTACGTCGCTACGACGTCAACCCCCTCCCCCCAACCACCACCACCACCACCACCACCACCCGGCCCAGCCTCCCTCGCCTACCCCCCGCGAGGCCGATCTGCCGACCGAGACGTGCCTGGACGTGCGCTGGAGGGCTAAGCAAGCAGCACAAGGGCGCGTCGCTGATGTGAGCCCGAGACGCTAACTACATACCTACACCACCGTGGAGATCCCCCCCGACGGCCATGTCATCCTTCCTCACACGCTGACGCACATCACAACTACATGTTGGCCGACAACATTGTGTGCACCATATTGTATTGCATCGTCGCTACGCGAACCTTCACATTCCACCACCGATATTGCGAAATCAAATCGAGAAAGAAGTGTGAGAGGTTGCCTGTTGCCGCACGTCTCCCCTTCCCCTCACCCCCCCTACGAATACCCACGCCACAAGCGAACTTTTGACGACCTAAAAGCGTACTGGTGAACCATGTTCGCTTTTGGTACGTCAAGTGACCTCACAACCTGTGTGCGGTGGCTCGTGCTGGTCAGGAGCGCCCACGCTCTCCCTCACTCACTCTCCCCCCCTCTCTCTCTCTCTCTCTGCCCGGCACAGGCGCGGTCGTTCTGTTTAGACTGCAGTGGCCTTTCTCCCACACGTGCCATACCGCCAGTGCGGACACACACCACGCACTCCGCACTCGGCCGGTATCTCCCTCCTCCCCGGCGGCGGTGTTTGGAGCTGGGCTGGGCGGGCTCTGGGCTGGCGGCGGGCGCGGCCGCTCCTCCTTCTCGTGTTTGTTCAGGTCTTTGCGCATTTTTCGAGGATCATCGCCACATCGCCACGCAGCTGCCTACACTACACCCGCCGGGCCGGGCCGGGCCGGGCGGCGCCGGGGCCCACGAGGAGTGGATTATGTGAGTCTCGCCGCCAGCCGCCGGGCGCGGGTGCCGCACAAAGTGCGCCGAGTTTGCTTTCACAGAGCGCGAAGGAACAAACCGAGGAACACGCGCACAGTGTACTCTTTGCTGCTGCCACTGGGGCTGTACCGCGCATTGATTTCGCAGCGCCTCAGTTCGATTTGAAACCCCGTGGCCGCAGCCGTGTCGGGTCGGCGTTGAGCTGGCCGAGCCGGGCGGCTCGCGGAGCGGCGCGCGGAGGCTGCGGCACTTCGCTCGCTCTCCCGGTCCCGCGGCTCCCGGCCTCAATAAACCCGCACGCAGCCTTTCCTTTCCTTTCTTATCCCTTAACGAACGCTCTTTCTCCCATCCTGCATCAGCGCGTAGGTAAGGCGTGCGGCTCGATAGCGCTGTGCGATCGTGTCAATGGGACGCCACGCACTCCACGCAGCCAGCCGCCTGAGAGAAAAAAATGTGAACAAATCACAACGATTCAGGGCTGTAACCAAAATCGGGACCGGAGGTGGTCTCCCTCCGAGGCGGTGGCTGTAAACGGAAACCGAGTTCGTCGCGGGGGTTGTCTCCCGGCGGAGCGCGCACGAGGGGGGTGGGGGGTGCATCCACCCACATCCACTATCTTGGGTTCCGGTTCCGTTTTCGGTTTCAGTCGGTCGACGAGGCGCACGCTCGACCTAATGCTCGATAGGGGTCGTCCGGAAAGCAACCGCGGTTGGCTCTCATGGCGCCTGTTGGGTAGGCAACATCTTGCCTGTTGTGCATGCGTGTGCTGCGGGATGGCCTACCCCGAGTTTCGCAGGCGCCTAGCTCCCCCGTAATTTGCTGAATGAATCTGAGGAAAATTGAAGTACTTTCTGGATGATCCCCAATGCCATACATCGTCTGTGAGGCCCCGTATGACGGCCAAGTTTTAAACTTTTCCAAACCACCATCTCTGATTTTCGCAACCAGTGGCTCGGTGTGAGAATATGAATCATGGGTGGTCTGACAAGTCGGACACCCACATACGGAAAGGAACAAGGAAGAAGACCCACATTTTTCGGCTTCCGCTCCCGAATACAAGCCTCCCCCCCCCCCCCCCAACAAAAAATGAGGGTTTTGTTCCTCTTTCTGCAGTAAAGAAATCTGACAGAAATGGGGATCAAAAAAGTTGAAAAATTGGAGAGCTCTCAAAAATATCTCTCCTGGACTCACTCGCGCCGATGATAGCGGGTGGATAAGAAACGGGAGACTCTGGAGGTACCGAAAGGACACAGACAACAGACTTGTATGGCAGGCGTAATACGCTGCACACGGCCTGGCGATGACTGACCGCCCAAGGACCCCGGCGGCTTTGGCTCACTTTGGAATGACGGTGTTTGCCCGTGCCACTTACCTCGGTGCTGTGCTGGCGGAGCTCGGCCGCCGCCGCCGCTGTGCCGGCCGCCTCGAGGACCATCATCACCGTCCTGCGCACCGCGCGCGGCCCGCCTCCGCTCTGTCCTGCGCCGTTTGTTCCGGATGAAAGCCTCCCGAGCAGTACTGATCACAGTCTCGAAGGAATGGAATGGCCCGCCACGCGCTCCGGCCCGTCCGGTCGGCAGCCCCGCGCGCCCCGCTCGCCGCGCCGGTGGACTTCCCTCCCGCCTGCCCGCCGGCGAGCGTCGTCCCGCGCCGTCCGCGAGCAGTCAGCTGATCCTGTCCAGCGCGGCCAAAACCGTGCCGTCCACGCCGCTCCGCACCGCCCGACGTCTTGCGAGAGACTGAGCCGAACGGAACGGCCAGAGCGTCTCTTTCTCTCTCGCTCTCCCTCTCTCTGCCGGGGCTAGGCCCCGCGCGGTGGCCTCGGAGAAGGGGGGGGGGGGCCGTTCCCTGTGTCCCCGCGAAGAGGAGCAAAGCGCGGGCCGTTCCAGGAGGTCTACGTGTGAGTTCGTCGAGCTCCAGAAGACGCATACTCACCATCGGTTGTGTGTCGTAGGTCTCCACTCCTGTAACGAGAACGGTGATTCCCAACGCCCTGCCGGGGTGACGTGTCGCCCGCCCGGCGGACCCCCCGCGCGCAACGCCACGCCCGCCACGCCAGGTGCGCAGCCTGTCTCTCCCGCCCGGCACGCGGCACAGTGTTGTGGCGCGCATTTTGAATGCTGTCCGAACTCAAAGGCAAAGCTGAAAAGTGCGTCCACAACTGGCGATGGGGCCCAAAAGAGCTTCGAAAGCAGCGCCATCGACAGTTAGCTGCATCTAGCGCCCGTCTTCTAGGCAAACGCCTCAGCAAAGGTGAGCGAATATCGAGTAATGTAGTCATCTGGCCTTAAAGGTAGTCGTGGGTGGACGCAGCCCACTTTGCTCTGATGTCTTCGTGAGAAATTCTGCGCACTTTATCACGGTGCAGAGGGGCGTGGTAAATTTGACATTTTAGCAGCTAGGTTGCGTTTGCAGTATCGCGCCAACTGCACCAACGCCACCATCACCATCCGCAAGGGAGATGGTGCGATGGGTTGCCTGCGTGACTGGCTGAGCGTATCCAAGAACTTTAGCACTGTTGTCTGAGGCCACCACGCTTAATGAAAATGGACTAGGTAGTGAGAAATCGACTGAAAAATCGATGTTGTATTAATACTCTTTTTTTTCCAGAAGCAAAGAGTGAGTTATCTGGACGAGAGGGTAAGACATTACTGCAAAGTACTTTGGTCACCAGCTTGGCTTTATTGAAGTGCTTAAGTACATAAATCTTGTTGACAGTTTCCACATTGTTTACATATCTCTTGACAAGAAAATCCTTACAGTGGGTTAGTTAACTGTCTTTCTCACATTACATCCTTGTACCTAGGAAAAGATAGTGCTGCCTCATCTTCGTTGTTTTTGCTAGTGAACCATGGGACCACAGGCAGCTTTGAAGGGAGGCCCACATTTGCGCACCGCACAAAGTAGATCTCCCGACCAGCGCTGATTGGTGCCAAGTGAAGCATGAGATGCTAGAATAGAATGCGCTATTTTCAATGTATAATCTGTTGCAACCACTTCTGAATCTCAACAATAAATAACCAATACTCAATGGCTTTTAGAGGAGGTGGAAAACAATTTCTTATTGTATAAATTGAAAATAAGGCAAACCACTGTACATTCCAAAATACTTCACATCAGCAACAACTGATTGATGCCCGCATCCATCTTAAAAATACATTTAAACTCTATGTATATATGTACACGTTTTACGGTATGCTGAACCTACATTTTTCACCTGATGGTCTTTTTCTTGAAAACACTGCTTCGGAGCATACCACTTGTGTGGTTCCATTCAACGCAACTTGCAACAGTACACATCTAAGCCAGTCTTTTCAAATAGTCGAAGGGAAGACCCAGAATTATTGTAGGCATCAGAGAACATATATTGGTTTTGTTAAAATCACGCTTATCTATAACACATTTGTCAACAGATAAAAGTGCACACTAGTCAAAGGGCGTAGAAAAGCAGGTAAAAAGACAAGAAACTTATCTTGTTTTCTCAAAACCTCTTTCAAACTTGAAGATGGCTAGTAAAATGTAATGGCAATATGCCACTACTTGATAACCAACATTTTCTAGCCATGGTCAAGAACATTGTCCACACTACGCCCCAGAGTGCAAAAAGAAGGAAGAGAACAAAAAATATAACAATGGATATGTATGGACCAAACTCACTCACTCTCTCTCCCATTCTCTTGCACACACACACACACCCATGCACGCACAAAAACACACAAATGTACTTACACCATCTCACTATTGCAAACTTTGCCAGGAATTACTTTGAAAACAGACTACTGAGCAAAGTAGAGTAATTGGCACATGAGAACAACTACCATTTGACAAAACACTAGAGTAGAGATAGAGTTAAATATCATTATGGTTCTCTCAGTGACAAATGATAAAGTAAAAAAAAGTGTTGAAATTTATTAGTACTGGAAAGGAGATGTGAAGCATTACAGCAAGAAAGATTGGGAGAGAGAATTTCAAGTGAAGGGAACGGCGACAGGTACAGAGCCTGGTAAATTCTCCACCACGTACTTGCTGAAGCAGACCGAGAACATATTAGATTAAAGAATGCGTGTGTTGTGTTTTATCCAGAGTTTTATGAAAAGAGAATTAATAGAAGAAATTTGTAATTATGTTACCGAGTTATGTAAAGCTCTACGCTTACAAATACAACAGAATAGAAACAGAAAAATAAGCAGAGAAAATGCACTGTTGCTATTGCAAAAGCATCTGAAATATAGAGGAACATGAGGTAGAGTTTTTTTAAATATAGTTGTACATATATTTTTAAAAATCTGCACCCTGGTTGATGAAAATGTGAGCTGAAGGTAAATGTAGCCCAGGCATTAGTCTTTCTGGCAATATTTGCAATAAGGTGAAAATAATAATAGATATTTGCACACAAAAATTGTTTTATTATCTTGATGTGCATGGTTTTCCATCACCATAATCACTATAAAAATTAAATAGTTGTGTTTCTTGAAAGATTCTCATTTCTCTCCCACAAACGTGCTTTATCTGATACGTATGAGGTTATTTTTCATTTACAGTAAAAAAAAAAACAATCACTTGTATTGTGTCCAACGAAAGATTTCATCACAGACGTTTTAGAGCTGGTCTCTTCACAAGTTCTTCTTTTCAGGTGTAACTGCAAAAAAGAAAAAGAAAGACAAAGTTAAAATTCATATGGAAGTAAAACTTTTTTTAAAAAGCAATGGCAAATAAGCCATTAACCATCCAATCGCTGAACATACAGGACAAAGTTACACATTTCATAAAAATTAAACAGTAGAACTTAGAACATATTGTGCCATCCTACCATGGGTCAATCAAGACCTGGTATTTATGACTAAGTAAAACCTGCATACAGATACATCAAATTGAAGAGTTCAGGAATACTCACGGCAAATTATTGATGAGTTGCAAACGTAGGAGGCCTCATTGGAGATGGCAGTTCAGTGGCGGCAGATCAAGGGCCTTTGACTCCACTGTGTTAAATAGCGACACTCAACACACCACCGCACTCAATTCACTTTTTTCTTCCCCATTGTTTGAATATGGAAAAATGTCAATAAAGGCTTATCTGTTGCAATAACTTTGATCAAGGCTTCAGCATACTAAAAATATTACAAAGCAGCCTTTTCATTGGGTAAAATTTTAACACTAATGCCGTGAATTTAAGAAAATAAAATATTAGTAAAGGACACAGAGCAAGGTAAGTCAGCAAAATACTGTAAACATTAATTTTAAAGAAGAAGGAAAACTGACAGATTTCTAATGGTATAACAACTTGATCTTTTAAAGGATTATAATGCAAAACAGGCTACATGAAGCTTAGGAAAATCGGGAGCATCTGTAAAACAGGGAATTTGAAGATGTTCTAGGAAAATGTTTTCTTAAGTAAGGAGATTATAGTAGCTACTTTGTAGCCAGTTTGGGGCAACAGTGGATTAATAATGCCAAACAGTAAAAGAAGGAACAGGTTAAGTTAGTAAAAGCCACCTATAATTAAACTCCAATTTATTAATAACTTCAGTACTTCTACCTCCACAATACAATTTATTTACAATATCTTTCCTCAATATGTAATTGTTATCAAGGGTTGTTTACTTTTATCACATCAAACTGGAGGGTAATGGGCTGAGACTAGTGAATAATAATACCTGGCCTCAACATGGTAGTGAGAACAGTGACGAAGAGTTTGCAATCTACATAGTGGTTGGGAATTTATTTCACATAACAATGATTCCCGCAAAAATATCAAATCTTTAATAACAAGTAAATAAGTAATGCACATTGATATCAATGTACTTCAAAGATGATAGAAAGACTATCACTACTATTAAGAAACTTCACTACAGAAAACACTGACCTTCCTCCTGTCACTGTTACCGCTTCCTGGACAAAATACCCCCCTATTTGAGGAACTACTGTAGTCTTCTCAGAAAACATGGCATGAAAAATGCAACCAAGGTTGAGGATGGAAGAAAAGACTAAAATCAGGTTTTTTAAAAATATGCTGGCTACATTGTGTCAAGTTGTATATCAGTTGGTTTATGTGAGTATTTAGTCACCCTACCAAAGTACATTAAAAATCCATTACAGGAATATTGTTTCATCCAACCATTACTAGTCTTCATTTCACAGCAACTGTACTTCAAAGGCAATATGCTCAAAACGTGAGATAAAACTTCCGAACCCTTGACATAGTTTATATGGTAAAGTGAGGGTCAATAAAACTAAAGGTATGGAATCAAGTTTCGAATGAGGAAGGATAGAATTCACAACAAGCACGATGACACACTTCAATTTACTACCATGGCATGTTAGGAGGCAAAACCATTACTTACCAACATTCACCATTTATTCATGTACTGTACAGGGTTGAAACTTAAAATTCTTTTACCCTTAAAAACATGCACTGAATGTCCACATTTGAAAAAGGAGACAAACATGTTTGCTCTGGCAAACTGCACGTCTATGGTATCCAAATTATGAGTTAAGGATTTGACTCACTGAAGTGCCACATTAAGTCTTACATCACCCATTTGTTCCAGACAGGGTTGCCTGTTCAAGGGGCCCGGGGAAAAAAAAAATAAAAAAAAATAGGCCTTTGACATGTAACCAAAATATTACTGTGCCTAGTCAACTGGATTTATCACAGCCCTAAATATTAGAGGACATAAATCTAGAAAAGATTACACTGGTAAAATCCTTCTGCCCCATTAATTCAGTCTGTCTCTTGAGACATGCTACATAAAGGCTAAAACATAACTCCCTGCATGAGTTCTATTTATTACTTGTGATTCCATCACGAGTCAGAAATAATTCTGTGGCCAAAAAATCACTTAAAATTTTCATTGTTAATTTATATAATCATGAAAGGGAATAGTTTCTACTGATTTAGGTTTAGTTTATACTATCACATGGAAAAATTGTCTCCCAAACAGTACAACTTTGATATCACTTTCGAAGACTGATTCAGAATGAAGACAGTTCAGTGACATGATCTGGTATGGAACTGGCACTAAAGAGAACTTTATATTCAATGAGTAAAAGTGAGAAATAGAATAATAATAACACTGAGACACTGGACACTACACTTCATCTTGCACCTAAAGTCCACATTAATGTACACTGCTTACAGCACATGCACGCTCTCACACACATACAAACATTGGCATTGACATACTGTACCACTAATGAAGGATCAACTGTGACTTGAATGACAAATGTTATGTACATAAAATATTTGTCATCGTGTTTCTACATATATGCTAGATGTAAATGTACACATATAT